AAAGCTCATGACCATAGATGAGGGTAGGAACGTAGATCCTACCCTCATCTAATGTCCTTTAATTCACACTAAATATACTTCAGTTTTATAATGTGCTGAATTATAAAATCAGCTATTTGTGGTCGAACAACTGAAAACACAAACAAAACAATTCTTTGTGCCTACAGGCATGATTTGATCAGAACAAAATTTTGCAACCAAAAGTAAAATAATAATAATAATATATAATAAAAAACTGAGGCGATAAACAGAATTCTAGTTATTTAATATTAAATCTGTAACAGCTCACAAACAAAGGTTTCAAAAGATAAAAATATAATATAAATGATTTAGGAGGAGTTGTTGGCAGCCSTTTTCTCTCTTTAAGTGCCAAGAAATAAAAGAAAGCTATCAGACTGAGCCAACTTTAAACAAATCTGTTTTTGTCCCTGCACAGTGGAGCAGTGGTTACAGCTGTCTTCTCTCAGCAAAAGGTTTGCAGGTTTGAATCCCTGCTGCAACAGTTCTGGGTGCAGTTGACATGTTCTCTCTGTGCAGGTGTGGGTTGTCTCCCACAGGTCAAAAACATGCTGTGCCTAATAACTCAATTATCCCTGCGGTTGAAAGTGTCCCTGTGATGGACAGAAGACATGTCCAGGGTGTCCCCTCAGTGGTTCACACCAGTGACCCGGAGAGAAAGAAACAGATAAAGGATGGATATTACTTTAGTGATGATTTTAACTTTTAAAACATAATTTAATACAGTGAATTTGAATGTTAAAGTTTTAAGATAAGATATCCAGTTCAGCTCAGAGCTCTTTTGTTTACACCAAGAAAGTTTTATTTTGAAACATTGTGCTGGTCCTCAGTCCATTTTAGTTTAAGTTGACTTCATTTTGAAAGCTCTATTAAATTATTATTTTTTATTTATAACACTGTAAAATACACAAGTTAGAAAGACGGCATTTTTATTTGTGGACCGGTATTTTTAAAAATAACCTTTATTTATAACAAAACCTTAAATTTCAGCCTGAAACTCGTTTATAAAAATGCCTGGGATTAAAAAAATAAAATTAAATAAAAACAGGACTCATTTGTTCTTTAAAGTGCCTGTGACATCAAATTTTTATAATAAATATGATTTTTTTGGAAAGATAACATTGGTAACATATTGTAAAATAAATTTTACACTGCTGAGATGAAGTTGAGATATTTGCAGATGAAGTAACAGGAAGTGATGTCAAAGGGGAACGTCTGCATGTGATCAGAGCGTTGTTAACAGCTAACAACAGACTATAGAGAAGAATCTGGTGTTTTTTTAGAATTTTTTGAGTTGCTGTCAAAGAGAGATGAAGAGTTAAAATATAAAAAACATTGTTTCAATAAACAAAGACCAGAGTTCATTTTATCAATGAGTTCCCCTTTGATGTCACTTCCTGTTTCATTTTGGCTGAACCAAGTTCAAAAGAAAACAGGCCAGTTATGTGGCAAAATTGGTAAAATCATGTGTATTATGGTAATTTTCTTCAGTATAAAGATGTTTTCTTTGACTTTTTGTATTTGAAGGATAGGCATGTCACAGGCACTTTAAATTTAACACTTAAGTCCAACTAATTTACCATAAACCTTCCATATTTATTTTAAAAGACCAAATTTGAAAGAGAAACCTATATTTTCTTTTAAAGGAATGCTTTATTGATATCCAAACACAACAAAAATCAAAACTCTTTCATTCATTGTGAAGCAAACAAATCAGATTCCAGTTAAAACTCAACAAGACCAGGACCCCGTCCCAAAAAAAAAAAAAAAAAAAAAAAAAAAAAAAAAAAAAAGAAATAAAGATCTTCTGTTGTTTCTGCACACAGGCTGAACTCCCATCATCCTCGACCAGCTGTCAATCAAAGAAGTTGATCAAACACAGCTGCATCAAACACCAGCTTCACCTGTAACAATTTTCATCCATGTCGAGTTTTTCTGCCAACTCAGCAGCTAGGAGTTCCTCAGTATTTCATTTTGGAACCACTCTTGTGGATGAACTGATTTCCACTAAACTGAGTGAGATTCTGTAACAGACGATTAAATGTTGGCATCTTGAACTGGTGGCAGAATATTTGTACAATCTTAGAAATCCTCCTAACGTCCATCTCTGCAGACAGAAGGAAGAAGAAACTAAAGGAACTAAAAAAATAAAAATAAAAAATAAACATATCAAACTAGAAAATAAAGGAGTTCTGAGACTGAAGCAGGTTTTTGTTTCAAAGCTGCAGTTTTCATTTTGATCTGAAACATTAAAAGCTCCGTTCTTCTCCGTTAATATGAGTATACGTGGATTTACAAAAGTTATTTTTATATCAGTGACTCTATGGATTAATGAATAAAGCACTCATGCAGCTGGAGACAGATGAATAAAGCTGAGCGACTGAAGCTGATGGCTGAGAGGTTTTCAATTAGATTTTTTTGGCAAAAGATGACAGAAATATCTAGAAATCACCTTCATGTCTAATTTCTCTATTTGTTAATTTAAATAGAGTTGCAGGAAGATATCCAAAATGTGTCTATTGGTTTAATTCATTAATAATTCACTCACAGAAATAAACAAACATAAACCATAAAAATGTAACTTTCTTTGACAGAAAAATGCCCAAAAAACAAAACAAAACAAAAACATCCAAGTTCAAGACTGTGATTTTAGTGGCATGAATCTTCAAACCCTTTTGAAATGATTTAGTGTAAAAGCTAAAAATAAACATCTTACCTGCTGCTGATCTTTTTCAGAGCAGGTTTATTTTAAAGAGGTTCCAGTTTAATTCTGACAGAAGAGGAGCTAATGGCTGATCTGAACACAGCTCAGGGCAGAGTGGATTGTTACTGTTTCCACCGGCTCCAGTCAACATTTCACTGTCGGTTACTCCAAGTGTTTCACAACTTTTACTGTTTTCAGTCATGGGAAGCTCGAACCCAAATGGACTTTATCAGGGGCGTCTCCAGAGAACTGAGCTTGACTTTACACCTGCAGGGAGCTCTCTGGCAGGAAACCGGTCCAAAACACAACAATGATAAAATAAAACCTGTCTTCATTTTTAATGTATTCTCCAGAAGATTAGATCATAAACCTGCAGGTGGGCACTGAGGTGGGCAACAAAATAACATGCAAAAACACTTCCTGCTACTTTTGATGATTCCACTTCGGCCAAAGCTGTGTTTGAACTGGCCGTTAGCTCATCAGTCATGAGATTGTTTAGGAATCCATCTACAACAGGTAAGCTGTTTACGCTTATTTTTCACACAGAAACATATCAAAGCAGAGTTTAAAGATTAGTTTGGCCTCACACGGTGGCATTCAGACAGTTGTTGGCAACGTTGGAGCTTTGTGTGAGTGGTCAGACGTGTTCATGCTAAAGGATGGCAGAGTGAAGGAGGCGTGTTTCCTCCTCTACGAGCTGAATCAAGTGAAACGTTAAAGTGGAGACATGCAGCAGGTAGTGTACACAGCACTGCTAACAGCAGCCAAACCTGGGCTCAGAAACACRGTTGGAGTGGGTTTAAAGCATTTCCTGTCTTTAAAAAGCACTTAGTTGGAGTTAGTCTCAGAAACGTGAGTCCAGTTTGTCAAATGAAAGCAGCCTGACTGTGTTCCTTCTTATCTCGKGTTGGTTAGTGTTGTGGTTCTCGTCCCGCACCTTTTAACCCCTCAGACCCTGAGCACTACCACGTGGCAGCATCAATGACAATGTGCCATTTATATTTTTACATATTGATAAAAAGTATGTAAAAACATTATGCAAAGCAGTGAAAAATAGTTTATAATACAAAATGGTGGAGGAAGCGACCCCTGGTGGTTCCACTTGTTACACAAAGTTTGTACAACTGTTTGGGTGTTGAGTCAAACTAACCTCTTTAAAGAAAACAGGGGGGGTGATGTAACACCGACAGTGTGAGTATCATTTAGTTAGAAGACAGAAGAAAAAGGACAAAGATGAATCAGATTAAAGACCACACATGTCAAAGCTTTCAGGGTATTCCCTGTTTTATCTGGATTGAAGAAATAAAAGTGAGTATTTTCAGGTTTAGCAGAAGAACAGAAGCTGTGGGGTCAGCAGTGACAGGTCTGACAGGTCCAGGCTTGGACCTCCGCTTGCTGCGTTTACAGATCTTAGAGCTAAAGAGAGGAGGGGGAGGTCTGGGCTAGCGCTGCCGTCGGAGGTGAGAACGGTACAGTCAAAGGTCGTGAGAAGGATGGCTGCGAGGAGGAGGCCAGCTGTGCTCAGAACGGTGGGTTCTCCTGAGTGGGGGTGGTGTCAGTCGGGGAGCCCACAGCATCTCCGTTCCCTCTGGGGCCAACTACCTTGTACTAAACAGGAGGAAAAGATCGTAAGTAAAGTTCTGATTCCCAAATCCCAGAACCATAGACGGACCACCCTCCACCCTGACTCACCTTCAGGTTCCCCATTTTATCCTCAAAGGACTTGAATGTTGGAGAGTTTCTGTGTAGCAAAAAACAAAAACAGTTTTATTAAAGTGTTTTACTTTCATTACCATTATCAAACATTAAACGAGAGTCAAAAGTTTTCATTCCTCCTGGCTTCAATGGATTCTTCAGTTGAACAAAGTTTTAAGTAATACTTCTAAATAATAATGACTGATTGATTGATGATGACTTTATTGTCATTGTACGGACCACAATGAAATCACATTACAAAAGTGAAAATAATGTATTCAGCCCAGCAAGTGAATACAGAAGCAGAAGAGTTTCAGTTTAACATTTTCATGAAAGTCATTTGCTCTGTGTTCTTTGTTTCAGATTTTGAGACATCCAAAGAACCAGTTTCTGAATTTTAAATATTTCAAATTAAAAGAACAAGTTGTTTTGTTTTCATCAGGCAGTTAAGTGTACCATGCCTTGCAACAGTTTTAACACCTCGATTTTATAACATCGTTCTCTGTAAAAATAATAGAGTAATATTTGCTCCACATAATAGTTGATTTATTATTCACAAATAAAAAGCAGCACCAGGATAAAAACAAGTGTGAAAAAAGAAAAAAAACAATAACAGCACAAAGAGTACGTTGAGTATATTAGTGCTACTTTACCTCATGGCGGGCATACTTATAGAGTGACGAATGGAATAGTTGCTACTTTGTAAGCATTAAAGAGAGGAGAAAAAGTGCAATTGTTAAAGGACAAGAAGACAATAAAATACACTCATTCATTTAAAACAGTTAAACATAGGAGGAATGGTTTGATTCAGACCAGAAATGTGTGTACATGATGTGTTCATGACATGTACATGATGTGTTGATGTGTACAATGTGTGTCAATGGTGTGTACATGATGTATACAAGGTGTGTATATGATGCGTTGATGTGTACATGATGCACTGATGGTGTGTACATGATGCACTGATGGTGTGTACATGATGCACTGATGGTGTGTACATGATGCATCGATTGTGTAAAAATGATGCACTGATGGTGTGTATGAAGGACATTTTGTGTTCAATTAACTGAATATTAGATGCAGTATTGTATTTTATACTTTCTGGTCATTTCAGCCTTTAACGTTAAAGCAGACAAAGAGTTGGTGTGTCTTATCATGTGTTCTTTCTTTAGCCTAAACAAAAATGAGTTACGTTCTACTTCTGATGTAAAAGGTAACACCTCCAGGGGTGTAACTAKGAAGAGATGTACATTATAAGGTCAGTTCATTATTATAGTAGAAAGAAGTTGTTACTGTGTTGCAGAGTCTCTGCTCAGAGCAGAGCAGCTGTGTTTTGTTTTGGTTTAGCCCAAAGTCTTATGGTGAAGCTTGCTGAGTGCTGTATGAATCTGATTGGAGTCAGAAAATTGAGAATAAAGTTTTAAGAAGAAATCCAGTTGGATTCCTATTTATTCAGACATACCATTTTGAACAACACATTTTTCTACATGTACATGATGCATCAATGGTGTGTACATGATGTATGCCTGATGTATACATGATGCACTGTTGGTGTACATGATGTATCCGTCCAACACCAGAGGCTGTAAGCTGTGACATCATGAGTGCAGTAATGGCGTTATTAGTTAACTGCTTTCATTCAGAACAGGTGAGTATRCAGAGGAAGCCTTGTAGACATTAAACAGCATTACCAGCAGTTGAGAGGGGCACAATGTGTTTTTACACATGTTTTTATAGATATATTGTGGAACTGCTCAGCATGTGTGGTGTACAGGTGCCATAGTGACCCCGTGTGTTAAAAGTGGGCATGAGAGGGCATCAACACTTTTGTTTACATCACTGTTGGAGTTACAGCTGCCCACATCTAGGGTGGATTTTTAAACCCCATGATATCTGCGGCTGTCATCCAGACACAGGTATTGGACTCTTTTAGAACAACCTGTGCCACCATGCATTGTGTCTAAACAGCTGGTATCAGAGAAACTCGGGGACCATGAGGTCTTATTGGCTGCCTGTGACTCCAGGGAWTGCTCTATTTGAAGTGGTGCAGAAACAGGTGAGTGGGGTTTTATTGTCACCCCGAGGCACATCACTGAATCAGTGACATTTCATGTCCAAATGTTGTACCCCTGCAGAGACAKCATCCTGGTACACTCTTTAACTACTCATCCTCAAATAGCCCTAGTGTCTATGGRCTGCCTGAGTAGTGCTGACATCTTTCTATGGTCAGCAAGGCCAAACTCCCCCATGTGATTCATCAYTGTGGATGAAAACTCTGACCCCTCAGGCCTGAGGGTGTGCACACAGTGTATCTGTACTGTGCACCCCATTATWGACAAAGACTGTAATGATGTCACAAACAACTCTGCGAAGGAGAAAGAGAAGCACAGTGGAGTGGATGAGTGTCAGGAGGACCACTGCAGGACTGAAAGACTGAAGAAGAGTGACAGAATGGTGGTGAGATCAGTTGTGATGTTTGGTTTGGAGACGTTGGTTTTTAACAGACAGCAGGATGAACTGGAGGCGATAGAGATGTTCAGATCTTTATAGATAGAAACCAAACAGACAGGATGAAAAAAAGAGTCACCAGTTTGGAGACGATGTTAGAGTTTTGGACATATTGGACAAAGAATGTTGAATATGGAGCTACCAAGGCGGAGCAGAGATGAAGACTGGTTGATGGATGTGGTGAGAAGGATCTATAGAGGACTGAATATGYATGACTGAAGAGGATGCTGGGATAGTGGGACATAGAGACAGATAATCCTTTGTGGAGGACGGTCACTAAACGGAGTGGTCTTTGTGAGTTTGAAGATTAACCGTGTAATAAAGGACATGGTGACCTTACCTAAAGGAATTAGAGAAAGGCAGAGCTCTGCAGGTCAAACCAAGGCAGCAATTAAAAACAAGGAGATATTGTGAGACAAAAGCAGCAGCATCGGTACACAAACACCAACAACACTCGACAAAAACAAGACACTGCAGTGTTATCAGTAAATAAATACACCATATTTATTCATGTATAATACGATCTCGAGTAGGGCTGGGCGATATGGCCTAAAATCAATATCATGATTTATTGACCAGTTTACCTCACTAACGATAAATGCACGATAACTCTTACCACCCCCCACCACACACAAGTACACGGTATAATATAGTCATAACATTATACTCTGTGTCCATGTTCATAGTCACAGTTCACAGTTTAGATTTTGAACAGCTTTTCTGTAGTTTATAATTGTCATTTTAGTGTTTTTAACATATTTAATAAAAAAAAACATTTTTGGCAAGACTTGAGTGAGATATAGTCATACAAATATTTAACCATCTCCATATTACAACTATTCAGTGCAAACAGATTATGTATTACAATTTTATATTTAAAAATATACCAAATATGTCTTTCACACTGCACAAAATAACTTAAATACATTTTTTATTTGTTGGACTGACTGATTTCTCTATTAAAATATCTATTTCTTTCAAAAAGATTATATTATTTAGAGAGCTCATGTAATCATTTAATACTATACTTCGTATTCGATCATTTATTGAATCACAGGGCAGTTCAGTCACAGTATGGTTCTAAATATAAGCAAGCTATATTGTGAAAAATAAAATTTGTAGACATTTATGATAAATTACATAGCGGGAACATAGTGGGTTTTTTCTTTTGTCTTGTGGGAGGGGTAACACAAAGCGGAGACTCGTTTTTTCTATAATATGGGACAAACAAATATTTAACTGTTAGAGTTAATATTGTTTCATTAGAAGAACTGAAACAGCAGCTCTCAGAACAACTCAGCCTGTGTGCACCTCGCTCCCGTAACAGCGCTGTCGAGGAGAGGAGTTTGGTCACGCAAGCAAAGTTGGACATATCTGTTCGATAACAACGCTCTGAACACATAAACTTGTAGTGTGTTAGATTTTAGATACTAACGTCTCGGGTAGCTTGGGAGCAAAGTGTGGAGGACAGGATTTGTTCACTCAGGACAGGAGCTGCAGGCTGACTGGTGTTTATCCCAGACTGCTGCACCGACATCAGAAAGACCCGCCCTGCTCTGCTCTGATTGGATAAAGCTGTGGGGTTTGTTTGATTTGTTGAAAGCAGCATCTGTTTAAACCTGTATCAGACTGGGCAGCTTTAATGAAATCACAATAGAAAACAAGCAGGTTTCTTTTTTCCCTCATTTTTTAAATACGAGAATACCGACATGAGCAAAAGGACCTCGGTTATTGTCATAAATGTCGGTATCGGTTATTTTTCGGTTTATCGCCCGGGCCTAATCTTCATTTTTTGAGCTTAAAAAGCATAGAAAATCTGATCATCAATAACCCGTGTATAATACCACACACACACACACACACACACACACACACACACACACACACACACACACACACACACACACACACACACACACACACACACACACTTTATAGATGATTTTTAGGGTTAAATTTCTAGTTTTATACATGAATAAATACAGTAAGTTTCTTTCATCAGCAACCTGTTTATCATGTTTTTTGTGAATGAAACCAGTTTCATGAACATAGAAATCAACACATGACCAAACAGGTCGCAGAATGTAAGATAAATGTTGCTTTTTTTCTACACCGGTTAGTCAGAAAGAAACTAAAGACAGAATAACACAAAAAGGTTTGGAATCAAAGTATGCTAGTTTAACTCCTCTAACACAACTATAAACCAATAAAAAGGAACTTGTCTTCCATGTTGGCGAGCAGACAGACACTTCAGGATCTCTACACAACTACTGACAACTACTGATTAGAGAAGACATGAAGATGATCACAGGTCAGTTTGAAGAGAACAAACTTGCACCAAGAAAAAATGAGCAGTCAGCAGGTTCATAACTTCAGTTAACTCCAAACTAACAATGTGATGATCACTTCCTGCACAAAGCCAAGACAAGAGGTTTAAATAAGACAACACTTGGTGGCTCTATAACTCAAATGAACTACAGAGATAAGCTGTCTTAAATAAGAATATGTTAACCCAGCTGAAATCATCTGAATTACTGGAGCTGGAGTTTAAACTTGCATTACAAAATAAATAGTTGAACAAGTTTAATCTAAAATCCTGATGGATCATGTAAAACTCAGCATTAATTCCCATCACCTTCTGAGATTACACCTCTTTTCTCCTTGACCAGCAGGTCTATCACATGGATCTGTGAGCCCACTGTGTTCTTAACACACATTTAAAGACCTCACAAAGACCCTGCTAAGACCATTACAAGTTGTTGTCATTAAGTTTGGTGACTGTACTCATTTGTTCCAGAGTAAACAGGTGCAAGTGCATATGCCAATAAATCAATGCTGACTTCTCGTTTGTTCTTGTAGCCTAGCTAACACGTCAGCTGTTCAGGCTGTGCTGCACCGTACCTCATGTCGCCTAGCCTCCTGCTTATGGCTGTACCCATTGTGTTGAGAGCTGCACTCGTCTTCTGTCCCGCCTGGGAAAGAGTCTCCTGAGTCTTCTTGTATCTGCAGAGAGGAGACAGAGGGAGGAAGGACCGATGATTAAGCAAAAGTCAGAGGATGAAATGGCAGTAAAAAAGATTGTTGGTAAGAACAAATGTTGGAATATATAAAAACTGAGGATGCAAGACAGGAAACCAACAGTGGAGATGAGAATAAACAAGAAACCAAAGCAGATTTGTTATAAAAAAAACAATTCTTTTTAAAGGTTTAGGAGAATTTTCCCCTCATCTGCAAACAATTGAATGACAGCTAGGAGCAGGCAGGACAGAGGGAGGATTGTGCCGTGCTCCATGTGACCACAGGAGGGAACAGAACCAAACCAAACAACAAAAACCCAGATCGTCTGATATCTTCTTAAAAAGTATTTAACCCATAAGAACAGGGTGATGAAAAAATTGCATGGTTTTGACACTGAATTTATATAACCGTGGTTTRCCTTGAAATCAGGTTATTGGCTGAAGCCAACTCAGCACAGCAGCTTCTTCTTCTGGTGGTGTTTACTGGTGGCTAATAAACAACTTTATGGTGAAATATCTGCCAGCTCGTAGGGAGAAACGATCAGGACTGCCAGCTCCAAAAACCACAAAAAAAATCTCTCAGCTTGGCTCAGATTACTCCTGCTCTACCGAGAAGTAAATGTCACGTTGCTGCAAAGTGATATCAGTACTGTGTTATCACAACACTGTGTGCGTAGAAATACATGATGCGTAATACCGGTATTAGTGCATCCTGACAACTTCAAGCAGGGGTCTGTGCAGTACATAAGTGGAGTTACTCGTAGGGCTGTGTATTGGCAAGAATTTGGCGATACGATACATATCATGACAGAGGGGTCACGATACGATATATCGCGATATATCCCGATATATTTCGATACTGTAAACAAGGCGATATATTGCGATATTTTTGGTCCAAAAATTCTATTAAATAAAAACCTCTTACTGGGGGAAAAAAAAAACGAAAAAAAAAAAAACGAAAAAA